ATCAATAACGATTGGAAATACACATTCTTCCCGCTGAACTATGCAATACACTGCACTTTGGCCCCTCGACGAAGCAAATGTTTGTGTTAGCTGAAATATACATTCTTCCATTCGTTGACGAGCAAGATTGACATTCAAAGTACGCACTAAAAAGAAATTTAAAATAAAAAACAGAAAAAAAGGCATAGAATCAAAAGAAAATGTACTTTTTTTGTACCTATTGCAATGAGATGAGGTGCGGTCAAAGCCTTGGCTAGCTGGTGTTGGACATTTCCAGAGGAAGGGGAAGATCTGGTGTGCTTAGAATCAACCTGTTTTCTCCTCACAAGATTCCTCAAACTACAATCTGAAGAATTTTCGCGAGCTCCACAGCCATTTTTTTCAGTGTCAGAGAAAATTCCCATGACATGCCCACAAATTATCTCGCTTACTTCCAATTTTGAGGTTTTACGCCTGTGTAATCGCATAAAAATTATCACAATAGGAAGAGAAAAAAGTAGTAACTCGAATCTGATAGAAAATCTTCTGAAGTTGCAATATTTGGACTACACGAACATAACGAATGAGGAGGAGTAATGAGTGAATGTATACCATTCGCATGTCTACGTTCAATGTTCAATGTTTTTTTTTTTTTTGTATGTGGAGCTATGTTATCACTAATCTGTTGGTCGATCCGATCCGGGTCGAACACCTAGCGGTAGTGGGTTAGTCTCCCTATAAGGGTTTTCTGCATCCACAAGGACTCGAACAGCTGCTTACCACTTTAGTCAACTTATGTTGGTAATTTTAAATGTTTAAATCTATATATCTATATATATATATATATAGGTTGTTGGAAAAAAATACATTAATAGAAAATTTGACCAACAAAATATAATGTTTGACTTATTATTAGTGGAAATTTTGAAAAAACATATGTTAAACACTACTAACAAAATTTAAATCCTATATTTTTTGTAACAAATCTAAAGATTTTTACGATAAAATCTGAATCTCATTTTTTTGCATCATTTTTTATTTTTATACCAAAATCTGAATCCCATTTTTTTTAAAAAAAAAAAAATACTTTGGAGATTCTTATGTAAAAAATGTGTAATTTATTTTTTAAAGCAATTCAAATACAAATTAATTTAAGGACCGTGCAAATTCGATACAAATTTTAGAAAAAAAATAATTTTATAATTCTTAAAAAAATCTTTCAATCTTCTTGAATAATTTTTTCTTTCAAAAAATGTGTGCAAATTTGATAAAACCAAGTGCAATTTTTATTTTAAAACAAAATTGAGATTTGGACGGTCGTATCCACATTTGGTAACAAAATCGATTCATCTTTGAAATTTAACGTCAAACATTATCCAAATATTTAGGAAAAAAATTCAAATGAATTTCAAAATCATGGGCAACTTTTCAAAATTTGAAGGCACCGATTTTGTTGGATTCTTATGTTTTTTAACCATGTTTACCGATATTTTAGTAATTCCATATCAACTTTTTTTTTTGTTAAGTTCATATCAAAATTTTTGAGGAAAACAATTACATAATTCTTAATAAATTATTCCAATTTTTCGTTAGAATGAATTTCAATTCAGTTTGATTGGTAAAAAGATTGGTGCAATTTTAGAAAATTGCGGTTGCATTTTTTGGAAAAATTAATGTTTCTTTTCGCTTTGTTTTAATCAAATATTCAGATCAAATTGTTTGGCAAAAAATTAGTGTATTGGTAGGAAAGTCAATTTCATTTTTAAGAAAAACTAATGATTCTTTTCAATTTTTCTTAATCAAAATTTTGAATTAGATTTTTAAAATATATATAATGGCGTGAAAAATCTCTAAATAATTCTACTTTTTTTCTACTAGATTTTTGTTCAATAAATAAGATTCCATCATTATTTTTTAAACATAAGTTGATAAATAATAACTAAATATACGCACTTTTAGATAAAGTCTGAATACCCATGTAGTACTTTACGTGCCAAAGAATAATAAAAAAAAATGTTGTACATAAGGAAGTGTTCAATAACATTTAAATTTTATTTGCATGATATTTATAATGTCATCAGACAATTAAAATATAAAAATACATTTTTAAAGAATAAGTAGGTAATAAATGCTCTCGTATATCGCACGAGTACTGTACTATAGTATATATAATAAGAATAATCATTTACTAAAAATAGTAGCAAAAAATAAGTCAGAATTTAATGCATCCTATAAATAGTAAGTTTTATTATTTTTTTTATTTTTTCTATAAAAAACCATACAACATTAAGTTTTGTCTTAAACTAGAACGTACCTCGTGCGATGCACGGGTCAGAGATGTTAAATACAACATATTTATACACCATGTCCGTTCAGGCCATAATACAATAGAGTTGGATCATCTATTTTGCACCTCAGTGAATCAACATTGTTTTAGTTATAACGTTAAAACTGAGTCTATTAGTCCCAGTCTATAAATTAATTAATATATTAAACCGCTAAAACGTTTATACGAATATAAATTTGATTTTAGTATATATAGTTATTCAATTATGTAAGAAAATATAAAAATTCTACATATTCTTATTCACCATATATTACTTATTTTATTATTTTATTATAAAATTTATTGTCATATAATTTTATTATTTGTTTAAAAAAAAGTTATAGAAGCAGACTTCTTATTCTTTTTATTTTATATTTATATACTGACAAATATTTAATGTACGCTTATATTATTTATTAATGTAGTTAGTTTAAATTATGTAATCAAATTTTTAATAAAATATCATGTATAATTATTTTACGAAATACACATATTTTTTTAGAAAGTGTGTATTAATTTTGAGATCCACTCAAATTCCTAATTTTGTTCATTTCCTGTGAATTTCATATTGATTTATTGATTTTATTATTTTCATACAAAGTTGATCGTCTCATTTTGCTTTACCATATTTTCTTGACGATTTAGAAAAGTCACTTGTGTTGATATCCAATTTGGCCTTCACTAATAAATTATAACACGTGGACATGTATTAAATAAATATAAAATAACAGGTTATTTAATTTAT